CCATTTTTACGAAGGTGTGAAGAGTTAATCTAGCTGTGTTTGCTTTTGCAAGAGAACTACAATGTTTTGATTATTGGGTGACAGGTTTTCTTATTTGTGTGAAGAGTTTTGCAAAATTAGCCAATAGTTACAAAAAATGTGCTTAAGCAATCAGAAAAAACTGTAAGTAGTTCAGTGAGAATGTTGGCGTTCAGAGACATTATTCTTAACTAAAAAGAAATTCATACAGAAAGTAACATTAGTTCCAGTTTTCATGAATGTTGTAATAAAAAAAAGGGTACTACTTTGGTTATGGGAAATGTTTCTGCGGGTGGTGCCACGGTTGCATAGCTTAGTGGGGAGGAGATGTTATGTATGAACCAAGAATTATTGTGTGCTATGCAAGCCATCGCCAGTAGGGGGCACCACGCCCAGTTATGTGTGTGTGTTACTTCTGTGTTATCTCAATAAAGAAGAAGTCAACTTGTAAACAAACTATTGTGTGTGCAGTCTGACTCGGCATAAGCTCTCATAGTGTACTGACACTACAGTGGAAATATAACACCTGCAGAGAGTGATAACAACTGCGGAGAAGATAACCAGGACCCTGCTGCCCTCTCTGCAGAACATCTACCATTGCAGAGTCCAGAGGAGAGCTGCCTCCATCCTCAAAGACCCCACACACCCCCAACACGGACTGTTCACACTTCTGCCTTCGGGACGGAGGTTCAGAAGTGTGAAATCCAGAACATCCAGACTCAACAACTCCTTCTTCCCCACTGCTAACAGACTCTTGAACAGCTGACCTATTTTAACAGTAATAATAATCTTTGCACATCAGCTCATCTTACATATCAAAGCAGCATATTAAACTTGTAGCTCATAAATCTATTTAATGCTTCAATTTTTGTCTCCATTTATACATTCATGCTATTTGTATTTTGTCTATTTGTACATATTAACCGGCATCTGCGTGTGGACAGCAGAGAAATAATTTAATTGTACAGAGAGATGCTTTTTCGTTGCACACATGACAGCAAACGCTTTGAATCTTGAATCATCTCCAGGAGGTTAAAAGGGTTGGAGCTCAGGAGCAGTCACAAGATGCAGATGAGGTGATGAAGAAGAGAGTGTTCAGTAGAAAAAGGCAGATGAGTTCATGGAAATGCTGCTTCTGCTGTAAGACACAGACCTATAGATGCATAAATGCTCCATGATTTTCATTTCTATCCATCATCTTGAACACTGGCTATAAATGTGTTCACTTCATTATTGTGTGATAAAGAAGTCCAGACGCTTTTCTTTGCAAGCTCCTTTGACTACGATGACCTGGATGACTGAGAACCTTCACAGACATAGATCCGCTACACCGAGCACATCACCAACGAGGAGGTCTTGCGAAGGAGTGGCACGGTCAAACTTCACAACATCGTTGCAGGCCAAAGACTCCGACTGGCCGGCCATATCCTCCGCATGGATGATGGACGGATTCCAAAAACAGAGATGCGCTTGCAACCCCTGGGCATTAAAAGACCATGAGGATGTCCCCGTAACACCTGGCAAAGGTCATTCCATCAAGACCTAAAGACATCAAATATATTGTTGGAAGAAGCTGAAGCCCGGGCACAAGATCAAGCCTGGTGGCATTCGTTTGCTGCCCGATATGTCAACATAAGGCATGGGAGGATCTAAGTAAGTAAGTAATTTACCCACCCCAAGTCTCCTGAAGCCTGGGTGGTTGGTATTTGTCCTGAGATTGTCTTCAGGCTGTTCCAAACCCCTCTGATGTTGTCCTGTTACAGCTGCTCTTCCATCTTCCTCCTGTAGTTTTCCTTCGATTGCCTTATCTTCCATTTCAGCTTCATCTGGACAACTCTTAGCTCCTGTTTGTCTTCAGATCTAAAGAATCTCTTCTTCTCCTTGATGAGAGAGCCTTTATTTCAGGATTTATCCATGGCTTGTTGTTAGAAAAACATCATTCCGTTATGATGGGTACGGTGTTGTCCACACAGAAGTTCGTGTAATTCGTAATGCAGCCTGTGATGCTGTTGAGGTCATCCTCCAAAAGGCTGCAGAGGTTAGAATAGAATAGAATAGAATAATCCTTTAATTGTCCCACAAGGGGAAATTTGGTAGGTTGTCCCACACAGTGGAAAGGAAACAGTCCCTCAGGGCCTCTTCAGTCTCTGCCGACAATTTCCTTACTGTGCGTTTCACAACTGGTTCTCTGTGTACTAGACATTTATACACAGGCTGGAGATGAACAAGGTTGTCATCTGAGCCCCCCAGGGGAAGAAGAGATGATGAGCTGTATGCCTCCTTGGTGTTAGCATACAATAAGTCCAATGTTTTATTGTCTCTGATGAAGCAGGTGACATACTGGATGAAGGTCGGGAGAGTGGAGGACAGGGAGTGAATGGGAGTGCGAATGGTTGTCTATGTGTTAGCCCTGCGACAGATTGTCCAGGGTGTAACCCGCCTCTCTCCCCAAGACAGCTGGAATAGGCTGCAGTGACCATGAAAAGGATGAGCAGAAGTGAGTGAATGGATTTAAATAATAATAATAATATAAATGATCGAGTATGATCAAACTTTTCATATGAAAAATGACATTAAGTGTGGTCACTTTTCATATGAAAAATGACATTATGTGTGGTCACTCTAGATATAATAATATAATATCAAAAACCTCAAGGATTCAAAGTTTTATTAAATTGTAAAAGTTCAAAACTCAAAGGCATTAAGTTTACAGTCATATATGATCAGGAAAATCAACAATCTTCACATTTCAGAAACTGGAACCAGCTTTAAATGTGACTAAAATAATAATAAACAATAAATTCTCTAATCATTGACTAACTGATGAATCACTGCAGCTCCAATATATTGTTGCGTTTGACAACCCACTACAGCAACTACAGAATAAAACCACTAACCAGACTGATGACAGATTTCAAACATGCTGAATATGAAGAGTAGTATCATTTAAACTCACATGGTTATCAGCCATAAGAACAAATTCAGATTTATATTGATGTAAGGTATATAAATGTAAGTACAGTTTGAATCAGTGCAATATTATTTTCACACATCAATGGACCACTGAACTTCTCAGCTTCTAAAATGTAAAGCCTCATTTAGAAACTACACAAGTACATATAATGGTCAGGGATCAACATGAACCTGTCGTCTCTATTTGACTTTAATCAACTCTGCAGTGGCGCCATCTTTCCAAAGGTAAAGTCCAGCATAGAGAGGCTGAGTGAATGTGGTCTGGACTCTGTGGAGGAGAGTCATGGTTTCAGAGACGCTGTAGAAAGACAGAATACCTGCTCTGTGATCCAGGTACACTCCTACTCTGGAGGACCGAGGACCTGAGAGGACAGTTTGAACATCGTTGTGCCAAAATTGAAAACTGTTTGTGTCACGATAAAATGCCCAAGATTTGTCATTCCATCCAAATCCACATTCATTTACATTCCCTGCTCTGCTGATATTCTTGTATGTGACTGCTACACAATCAGCTCCCCCTCTCCACTCCACCTCCCAGTAACAACGTCCAGTCAGACTCTCTCTACTCAGGACCTGATAACATCCAGTGAATCTGTCTGGATGATCAGAATAAGACTGATGTTGGTTCATAAATGTTACTTTTCTGTTCCCCTCAGATAATAACAGATTTGCGTTTGCTGTGTTTGGATCCAGTGTGATTTCATGTGAATATTTTAAGAATCCAGCTCTGGTCTTTGGCTCTGCTGGTGACAGTAAAACATCCTCTTCAGTGACTGTCAGTGAGATGTTTGTCCATTCCTCTCTCAGAATGTCCTGTAGTTTATCTCTGGTCTCTGACACAGCTGCTGTCACATCCTCAAAGTAGCTCAGAGGACGAATATTGATGCTGGATGAGTGTGTAGACTCACTGAGTGCTGACAGTGAGGGGTAGTTGTGTAGAAACTGGTTGTGATCCTCTGTGTGTGAGAGCTGCTCCAGCTCGCCGTCTTTCCTCTTCAGCTCAGCGATCTCCTGCTCCAGCTTCTCCTGAAGCTCTTTGACTCGACTCACTTCAGTTTCCTGCTGGGATCTGACCTGCTGCTTCACATCAGAGCTTCTTTTCTGGAGGAGACGGATCAGCTCAGTGAACATCTTCTCACTGTCCTCCACTGCTTTATCAGCAGAGCCATTGATGGCCTCCACCTCCTGTTGAAGCAGCTTCACATCTTTCTCTCGCTCCTGGATTCTCTGCTGGATGTTTAGTCGTCTCACCTCGAGCTCCTTCTGCTTCTCAGTCCTTTCTGCTGCAGCTGGGACTGTTTCATGGCCTTTATGTTCATCCATCAAGCAGAGATAACAGATACTCTGCTGATCAGTACGACAGAAAATCTTCATCACCTCATCATGACGAGAGCAGATGTTGTCCTGGAGCTTCTTGGAGGGGGCCACCAGCTTGTGTTTCTTTAATGGAGCTGCATCATAGTGAGGTTGGAGGTGTTTCTCACAGTAAGAAATTAAACAAGATAAACAGGACTTGATGGCTTTCAGCTTCCGCCCAGTGCAGACATCACAGATCACATCTTCAGGTCCAGCATAGCAGTGATCAGCTGGAGCAGCTTGGAGTCCAGTCTTCTTCAGCTGCTCCACTAAAGCTGCTAACATGACGTTTTTCTCCAGGACAGGCCTCGGTGTGAAAGTCTTCCTGCACTGAGGGCAGCTGAGGATTCCCTTCCTGTCCTCTTCATCAAAGTGGGATTTAATACAGTTCCTGCAATAGCTGTGTCCACAGGGAATAGTCACCGGATCCTTCAGTAGATCCAAACAGATGGAACAAGAGAAGGTTTCTCGGTCCAGCTGAACTCCTTTCTGTGCCATTTCTCCTCTCAGGGTCAGTGACTGTGTGAGTTTCTCTTCCTTAAAACTGAAACTAGTCTGAGCTCTGATCTCAACAACATGTTTCTGCAGTGAATGGAGCCTGTCAGCTCTTACACGTCACCACATGTTGGTTACACCCATCTTCAAAGTGCAGATCTGAAGGGGAGGGAACGAGGAAACACTTGGACAGAGAGGAGGTGCTGTGTTTAACAGCAGGAAGAAGAGGGAGGTTATCAGGCTGTGCTTCACTCCAGGAAGAGGAGCAGTTTGAGAGTGAAACTGTGTGTTTAACCCTTTTATTTACTGCTCACATCAACTTTTAAGCTTGTTAACACTTTCTTCTATATAAATAAACTTCAGTTTAGAAATGTCAGAGTTCTCACTGAAGTTAACAAACAGTCCTTCAGTTTCAGTCAATGCAGGAGGATAATGATCCTAAACATACAGATAAGGCAGCCACTGACATGATGCTTATGTTGCATTTAAGTTTATGTTAATTTCAATTGTTTCTCTCCATTAGACACTATCAAAGGTGAGAGGGTGCAGCAGGTGTAATAGTTTGTGTATGAGGCAGTAAACATATTAAAGAGTTTTCAAACACATTCAGCTCCACAAAAATGTGATAAATGTTTGACAAGACTAATAAAAGACACTCTGACTCTTCCTTTAAAAGTATTTTTCTGTTATTATGGTCGAGTTAATCACAACTTCTACAATCATCTGGCTAAATACAGGTATGTGAGAACCAGTCATTATTAACCCTTTATTGACCAAGTATCATACAGGCTGCCTGGACTTATTTGATTATTTTGGCTGTAAAAGGGCCAGAAATCATAGTATAAGTGAATGTTTTTGCGGCTTTTTTCAGAATAACCTCAGCTTTCGATATCTGGCAGTCATTTTCCTTTATTGTATTGTTATGACAATGGAACAAGAGTTTAAAGTGGAAAAAAAACCAGACTCTGTCAGATTTAGAGTTAACTGATATTCAGCAGGAACAAAATGTAACACAACAGCAACTTTTAATATTAATTTTAACTATACTAAATATGTACAAAAAAGTTTTTGAGTCAAGGCCACTCATTTTTTAAATATCATGACCTTTTTCGGGGCCATCCACTTCTCCACACCTGCTTCTCTGCTCTGTGCATCATCAGTTCTTACCTGTGACTGGACCATCGTTGGTCATGCATTCTAACGATACACCGTAAAGTTTAGTAAAGCTCGTCTTTTCGTCTTTCAGTAACCGTTTGAAATGTCTCTCTAGACCAACTGCTCAAGGAGCTACAGTGGTGTAAATCACCTATGCACCTAAGAGGAGTTGACTTTTCTACTTTTTAGACAGCAGTAGCTTGTGAACAATTTGTGCTACCGTAATACACCAAATATCCCCATACAGCGCAGCTTCTCTTGTTTTCGAAACCATTTGCATTTTCCCTCTAGCATAAATGATGACGGAGTTACAGTCATTTAAAGCGTGCTTGTAAAATGGACTCTGTGGCCAGGGATGGGTACCGGTTCTGACATAAACGGTAGTAACCAGACCGAAAAGCAGCGCAGATTTCGGTGCTTTATTTCGGTCACACAGCCAGATGGTCATTCCACTGGCTGTACTTCACAGAGAGTGCAGTACAGCCACAACAAAAGTTTGCCTTTTCTGTTGATACAACATACCTGATTTGGTTGGAACCAGTGCTTAAACAATGGAAAACACAAACTTTGTCCAAAAACCTCTCATGTTTAGCTGTTTTT